ACCAGCACCACAGCTACCAGCAAGCTACTGGGCAGAGTCTGGGGGCAGGGGACCCACACCCTGCTACCCCAAACTCTCAGTGCCCTCCCTGTGGGGCTGCTCTGGTAGTAACATAGATGGGTACCCACCTTCATGTTGGGGACAACCAGCAGCTTGGAGAGCTTGGTGCGGCTGTCAATCAGGCTGTTCCAGTCCAGCAGGTCCACAGTGCTGGGAGCAGAGAGCCAGGTCCATCCTGCTGTCTTGCAGGGGCAGGGAGGTCTCCACCAGCTCCCGACCCTCACCAGCAAGCAGGGTGCACAGCACGTACCAGCCTGTCTTGCTACCTCCATCCAAACCTCCTCTACGCTTGGTCGCTGTGCTGAGCCAGTGCCAGCCTTTGGAGACCTCCCCTTGCTGCTGCCCCACTGCCCCAGGAAGGGGGACAAGGTCCCCCAGCATCCCCCCGGGTCACAGGCAGCTTACCCGCTCATGCCCAGGTTCTCGCCCGTGAACCAGTGCTGGCTCTCCGCCTTGGTTGCGATGCCAAGGTTGGCCAGGGCCTCCTGCCACCAAAAGGAGCATCAGTGCCAAGGGGTTACAAGGGTCTTACTGCTCTGGGCTCAGAGGTATCACAGGTCAGGGGTGCTCCGGGACCTCTGCGGCCACCAGCCAGCTCCAGGCAGTGCATCCCTGGCAGCACAGCCTCCCCCTCAGACAACCCCCTCACCTGCAGCTTCTCCACCTCCAGCTTCATCTCCAGTGCTGCCCGCCCGGCCTGGCCCTGCTCCGCAGCCATCTGGTGGAAGAACCTCCTCCACTTCACCAGCACCTCAGAGAACTGCAGCTGTGGGGACAGGGCTTGAGGTCAGACACCCAGGCAGCCTGAAGCCTCCTCTCATATGGCAGGGCACCTTGGCCAAGCAGGGGCCAAGCCTAGCAGTGCAGACCCCCCTCTCCCGTGGCCTCGTGTTTACACCTTTAAACTTCCCAGCAGTTCATGTGCCCCCAAAAGCTGAGGCAGGGTCTCCAGGGTGGTCCTGGGCACGCAGGGTACAGCCTGTTGGTGCCCGCTCTGTGAGCGGCAATGCCACTTCAGCAACCCTGGCACCCCAAAGCACCGGCCTCTGCAGATGCCTTTTCTGTGGCCCTGCCTCTGACCCACCTCACCCCAGCTGCAGCCCTGGCACTCACCAGGAACTGAGGTCTGCCCAGTGCTGTCAGCTTGATGGCTGAGAAGCCGTTCTCAGAGCTGCCACCTGAATGGAGCCACAAAGACAGAGCCAGCCTGACGGGCAGGGTGCCTGGGCACGAGGGAGGTACCTGACAGGCGGTGGTGGGCTGCAGCCCCCGGGCGCAGGGGGGCTGCTCAGGACAGGGAGTGCCTACCCGAGGCGTCGATGCAGCGGAGGAAGGTCTCCATGTGCTGGTCACACTTGGCCTCGTCGGCGTAGAAGTACGTGCGGGCGCTGGTGACTCCATCACGGCGATCCCCAAACCCTGGGTGGGCTCGGTACTGCTTCTCTCTTTGTTCTGCTCCTGGAGTGGAAGAGGGTGAAGACGGGTCACGTGATCCTGCCGAGCTCCTGCAAGCCTCCCCTAGAGCTTCTGCCAAGGGCACAGAGTAGAGGAGCACTGGCTTGGACATCAGAAGAGCCCCCGAGGGCTGCAACGTGCCCCTCCTGCTCTGCTGCCCGAGCAGAGGCTGAGCCTTTGCCGAGGAGCAGAGCTGCCCAAGAACCAAGATGTTCTCCATCCAGCTCGTGTTTTGAGGCTGTGGGAGCTGGGTCCTTCCCCCACGCCAGGCCCACAGTGCCCAGATCGTTTGGGCCTCCAGGATAATCTCCTGTCAGCAGGAGAGGTTGGGTCACTCACCTCCCATCTCCTTCTCGGCTGCAGAGGTGCAGGAGCTAAGAAGAGAAACAGGGAAGATAAGGGCCAGGTCAGCAACCCCCTGCAGCCCCACGCCGGTGGCCAGGGCACCTCGCCTGGCGCCAGACCCTGGCTCTTCCCTCACCAGCCCATCACCAATGGAACAAAAGCTGCTCAGCACAAGCTCTGCTGGCAGGTCAGATGCCCCAAACCTGCTCGTAGAAGGGTCTTCAACATCCAGGCAAGTGCTGCCTGGAGGCCCCGAGGCAGCACTGGGAAGATGTTCTGTCCTTGCGGCCAGAGCTGCTCTCAAACAGCCCACACCACGGCAAGCAAGCTCAAGGTCTGTCCCCGGCAGGGCTGGGTGCTCTGTCTCCAACCACACCAGCCCATGGTTCTCCCTGTGGTAGCACCAAGCCTCAACCCAGCACCTTGCAGACATCAGCAGCCAGACCATGAAGCAAGGAGCTCCTCCAGACCCAAGGCACATCCAGCTGGAGGATGCTCTGCTGCAGCTCAGCTGCCCCACACTCCTCTGGGCCTTGGCTGTAGCAATCACACAAACAAGGTCTCAGCTTCAACTCCAGCTGACCTTGGATGTAATTTCAAGCCCAATATTGTTGCCACAGGGATAACAGGGCTCTGACAGCCTGGGGAATGCTGGCCAAGTCATGAGACCCTCCTTGCCTTCTTCTTGACACCCTAAATCCAGCCTGCAGACCCGGGGTCTCACCCAGGAACACTGCCAGCCCCTGGAGTGACATCAGAGCCATCTCCTCCAGGAGGTCTCTGCCTCAGAGTCACGGCCCCAAACCTGGCCCTGCCCAGCAGCAGGGAAGCACACAGGAGCCAAGCAGCAAAGCCACTTGTCCCGAACCAGAGGACTCACGTAAGAGAGCAGGGAGGCATGTGGCATTGTCCCAGAACATGTTCTCCCACACAGAAACCCTGTGACAGGGATTAGAGGCTGCTGGAAAACGGGGACAAGCCTCTGCCTCCTGCTCCCCGGCGCCAGGAGCAGCCCCACAGGGCTCAAAGCACAGCAGAGCTGCTGGGAACCAGGGCAGGGGCAGCCCCAGCTCGCAGGGAGCAGCAGGCACCACGGCTAGAAGGCTCTGCACCAGGGTTTGGCTCCCCTAAGGACAGGACAACAGCTTTCAACCACCGAATACAGGTGGTGGAAGGAAGGAGGGAGGAGACAGCATCCACCCAGAGCCCACAGTGACTGGAAGGTTCCCCTGGAGGAGGTGCCGTGGCATTGCTGTGACTCTGAGGACATGCTGAGGGAGATGGGTCCTGTGGAGAGGTCCCAGCCACAACACAGCAGGGCAGCTCTGAACCCCAAGGCACACCTTGCACCCAACACCTGAGCTGCCAGAGACCGGTGGCAGGGAGCAAAGCCTCTTCTGACCTACCCAGGGGGATTGCACCCAGCTCAACGAGCAAAGAGCACCCTTGAATTTGAAGTATTTGGAGTTGCTGCAAACACACCTGCTGCGTGACTGCACCCAGCTCTGCCCCAGGGGGGCACTCAGAGCTGTGCCATGCTGCTGGCTCTATTGTTCTGCACCAAGCCAAACGCAGGAGGCTCCTTCCAGCTGAAGAAACAGCTCTTCCTGGACATCATCTGCTTTCTCTGCAAGATTAGCCTTGGCCAGCAAAGCCATTCCTGCACCAAGTGCCACTTAACCACTTAATGCCATCCCTTCTGCATACCAAGAGCAGTCACCTAGAGGAGGAGACGCCTCCAGGAATTGCTCAAAAGCTTCTGGCAGGGTGTAACCAGGAAGGAGACACCTGGGAGCTCACGCTTGCCCAAAGTGGGTCCACTGAGGGCTGCAAAAGAGGCTGTGAAGGCTCGATCCATCCTGCTGAGCTGCTGGGGAGGGTAACTCAGCTGACACAGCAGACCGGGGCTTGCCGGAAGTTTTTTTATTAGGCTCACATAAAACCACCTCAGGAGAAGCACAAAGGTCCCCCTGTCAGAAACCAGCAGGCAATAATCTGTTCCACCCTGCAGGCTGCCAGAAGGGTGCCACGAGCACAGAGTATTGGCTTCTCTCATCAGCAAACAGGTCTGGCAAAGGGGATGAGGGATCAAGGAGGAGATGGCCCTGAATTCCCACATCCGAGGAAAACTCACGGTCGCAGGGTGCCCAGACTGAACTATGGCCAATGCTTAAAACCCTGCAGGAAGGAAGAAGGCAAAGCTCTTGGCAGAAGTGGGTCCTTCAAACCTATCCCACACTAGAGTTGCCAGTGTGCACCAGCCCAGGAGCCTAGAAGGACCTCCTTAGAAAGCTTCAAGCTAAGCAGAAGCCACCCCATGATCCTGGGGACCCACAGCACACACGGGCAGAGCACTGGGCACGGGTGGCACCAGCGCTGGCAGCAGGAGAAGGGGAGATTGCAGCTCTGGGAGGTTGATTGGCCACGTTGGATCATAATCCCATGCTGGAGCAGCTATCAAGTGTCCACCCAAGAAATCTCTAGAGGAAGCAAAGTCCACGTGCTGTGTGGCAGAGCCGTTTGGGGTGTCTTAAAGCACGTGGGGACAGTATTGTTCTTCCTCGTGTGAGCACAAGCCCAGCCCGTCTCCTGGCTTGGGATGCCCATGGGCCAGCAATAGCCCCAAGGCTGCAAGGGGACTGCAACCACCTCTGCTATGGGTGGGCTCCTTGTTTCACTCCCCAGGGACAGAAACCCCTGCCCAGCTGCAGCACTGCCTCTCCACATCTCACCCAGCCCCCGCCCACGTGCTGCCCAGCCATGCCACCATGACCTGGCAGCAGCCTCCGGCACGTGGACCAGGACTCCTGGGATAAGCTGGCATTGCTCTGGATGCCAGCCCAGGCAGGGCAGGGCAGGCACGAGCCTGCAGCAGGCAGGATAAACCGGTGCCTGCCCATGTTGCATGGCTGTTGCCAACCAGAAAGCCCGTCAGGAGGAGTGGCCAGGGCCCCTCCACTGCTGGGGAGGAAGGGGCACCTGCTGCATCTCCAGCTTACTCCAGAAGGCCAGCACAGCTCTGCCTGCAGGGGCTCTGCCTGGGGCAAACAACAGCAGATGGCACCGTGAGGCCAAAAATTCATCTGGTTTGGACCTCTGCTTCCTGGCTGGCAGCAGAGTAAAGCCCTGAAGTGCTCACAACCACACACGTCTCAGCTTGGCACCATCCCTGGCAGACACGCTGGTGATTTGGGGTTTTGCCTCTGAACAGACCAAGGAAGACCTAGAGCAATGCTTGGCATGGTGCAGGGTCCAACACAACCCTCCTAATGCCACCCACACCTCCCCTGGGCTTTGTCCTTACTCCATGACACCCCTGGGTGATCTCCAGGATGGCATCCACCACCCCCTGCCATTTGTTGGAGCAAATCTCACTGGGGCTTGAGCAGGGTGGCATCAGGGGGGCATGGGGAATGGGCTCCACCACATGCTCTCTGGGGTGGGAATGACCCAGACAGAGCTCATCTAGCAATGAGTCCCACCCAGGCAACCCCTAGATCTGCTCCGGGGAGGAGCAGCACAGCCCAGACAGCTGCAGTGCCTGCTCCTCTGTGA